GCAAAAAAAAAAAAAAAAAAAAAAGAAAAAAGAAACTGAATTGCAAACTGGGAAATCACTAACCATTGCATCCCCTTGATTTTCGCCAGCTGCAACAGAGCTATCAGACCAAGCAGGTTGCTCCCCATGAACATATTCATTCACAATTCTCAGATTTTCCATGTCCAAACTTCCCTTAGAAATCTGAGATGTGTCAACTTCATCCCTAAATAAAGAACGCACTACCGAGCTTTGCTTTTGAGAAGCCACAGATGAGTTATTTGCCTTTCCCGAGCCACCAGTCGAGGAAAAGGAAGGTGAAGTTGGGGACAACATAAGTGGCCTCAGAGGCGTAATCGGGTCTCCATTCTCTCTAGCTTCGAAAAATTTCGTTCGTGTGTTGGAAAGTGCATCTTCCATACGCTCGATACCAGCATCTCCACTTAGATGTAGGACTTTCTCCCTCAAAAGCTTCTGATCTTCGAAAACCTGCATTATGCAATAGTCAATCATAAATTGACAGGATGAAATTTCAGATGATTCATGAAGTTCAAAAACAAACAACTAACTCCTGGAAAAGTTGGAACTGTTATGCAGTTAATACGACATTACTGTAGACTGAAAATCTGAAGTAAATTCAGTTTCCTCAGCAATAAGCTTCCCAACTTGACAGGACGTTGAGCAAAAAACTAGAATTTGAATTAAAAAAATACTGCTCCTCTTTCCAGATAATTTATTATTATTATTATTATTGTTGAAACATGAAAAGCTATGGGTCAAACCTGTTTCTGAATAGCTTTCATGTCATGCGAAAGAGAACCACTATTATCCCCCTCAGGGGTCATTTTGCAGGTCTGGATCATTGAAAGTTCAAGGCGACATGCAGCCCTGACCAAATCCTCCTCGAGTGACCTGGCATCCTTGGCCTTCCACACCACAAAGCTATTCAAAAACGAGCACCAAGAAGAATCAAATGCTGCAAGCTGAAACCTGAAGGTTCTATGCGTTAACATGACACAATTAGATTCCTCATCAGGAACCTGTACAGGTCCATTTAGTAGTATCACAATCAGCAGCTCAAACTCCTCCACAAACATCTCCGCAGATTTCACCAAAGCAGTCTCGCGCTCTCCTCGACGGCTAATAACAGCATCTGGATGACCAATTATCATGTAAGCACAGAGAACAATCCTCACTTGGTACCTCGACAAGTGAGCAGGAGTTTTTGCAGCTTTTCCAACAGATGAAGACCTCTTTCCTCCTTTGCTGGAGGCCATTTTACGAGGAGTACCCTTCTTATTGGGGGAGGCCACTCGCTTGAGGAGGTGATCAATGTCACCCGCTCCAGAAGGATTTAGAGCAGATCGAGATATTCTGAAGCGAGTTTCGAGACGTTCAAGCAACGCTTTTGTTGTGTTGAGGGTGTAACTTGACTGTATTAGAAGTGCAAACTGCTCGAATGGCATCGACTTAACAGAACTCTCATTTATATTCAATATATTATAAGCTCCAGCAAGATCTGCAGTGGTTTTCCTCAGCCTCCTGAACTCCCTCCAGCACCTGGAATATTATAGAGAGATGAAACAGAACAAAGTCAAAAGATGACAGGATAAGCTTGTCTGAAGTCAAAGTCCCCATGTAGAACCAATTCAAGTAACTTGAAGAAGGTTGCCATCAAAATACCTCGATAATTTAACAGCGAGGACCTCAGCATCCTCATAAATGGTGTCCCAGCTATTATAATAAATAGCATTATACGGTCTTCCTCTCTGCTTCAGATACTCTGCTCTGTTTCTCCTAGCCTGTTCACAGAACATTCTTAGAAATGTCTTTAAAAAAGGCCATATTCCACAAAAAACGTGCTAGAATGTTTTAGAAACAAATGATTAATACCCTCTGCAGTCTTTCTTCAAGTTTATTCTTCATTTCACTTCTCTCCATCTCTCGCTGGCTATTAATGTTGTTGGCTGCCTTCTGAACCTGCAAGACCCTAGCGCGTGCTCGCCTTTTCTCTGCTTCCAGCAACCCCAGCCGCTTTTTCTCGGCATCTGCCCGTTTTTGGGATATTAAAGCACATACTCGTTCCTTATACTTGTTCTCTCGAACCATTCGCCGCATCAGTGATTGAGATATCCTCTCCTTCAGATTTGCTCTCCTTTGCCGATGAGCTCGAAGAATGCGCAGTCTGTTGGCCTCTGCCTGCCGAACCCGCATCTCAACTTTTGTGCCTAACTCATCACGTTCCCTTTTGAAGCGCATTTCCACCTGTGATTTGGCAGCTTGCCGCAACTCATCAAGCTTAGCCAGCCGCATCTGAGCATTTGCCTTGATACTCAACCTTTGAACCCATAAAACATTATCAACATATAAAACCAAAGGGGGGGCGCAGAAAATATTTAGAATTAAAAATAATTGATAGATAAATAAAAACAACCACTGAAAAAAATGTACACAAAGGTGTGT